TAGTATAATAGACATTCTCATATACAAAATAAAAAAAAAAAAAAAAAAAACCCTAAGATTCAGGATAAGTATGTTAAACTAAAAACATATACTACATTTGATCTTAAGCAAAAGGTCGACATCCGAGAAAAATATGTTTGTTCCATTGTTAGTCATTTTTTTGTAGTAATCTCCCTCTTGCCACTTTCACTCTATCATGCTATGCGGGATGCAATTATGCAAACAATAATGAGAAAAATGTTGACTCTTTTCTTTTTGTATCCACCTCTCACGTGTCTCTTTCTTCTTTGATCCAATGTGAGATACAAACAATAAAGTGAGGGAAAAAATGATTTATATTGCTTAGAAGTTGTCACTTGATTATCCATGACTATTGTTTTTATATGGATAAAAATAAATATATAAAATAATAGATTATAGATATATAATTATTATTTTTACAACTATAACTTCGACCATTTTGTGGTTTTGATTTATCATCAACTTTATGCTATTTTTATTTTAGTTTTATATATAATTTTTTAATAAAAGACGGTTGGCCAAAAAAGGGACAATCTAAAAATTGCACAAACTCTTTTAGTATTATAACATATCTAACTTCTTTTTAAATATTCATTTCCTTATTTTGTATTGTTTGGTTGGTTTTGATCTCAGCCATGGTTATATATTTTCTATTATTTGTTTGGTTCCTCCTTTAATATATTATATTGATATTATTATTGGTTGATGATTGATTTCAAATTCATTTTTTCCTTCTTCCATATACTTACCTCCGTCTTCGAATATATCACATTCTCATGAATTTGCGGCAATATGTTAACATATAACTTCTTTACATATAACTTCTTTACACATAGGTTTATTTTATTTTATTTTATTTTACTTATAATCATATAATCAAGTTTAGTTAGTCCAAAAAAGTTATCATAGATTCAATTTTAATTATAACAAACTAAAACAATCAATAAATTGTTCGTGATATTATATTAAAGTTTTTAATTCAACTTTATAATAAAAAAAATATATACTAAAGTCATATTATTATCTTTCATTGTTATTTTAAAGTCAATTGATATAAAAGAAATAATATAAAAATCGGGTCATCCAAGTAAGATAACCTTATTACCAAACCTCATGAGTTGATACGATGAATCTCATCATTCTTATTTATACATACCTCCTTATTCCAATCTTTCAATCTCTCACCAATATCACAAACTCAACCACAATTCCCCAACACCCCAGTACTCAATTCTCATGATTTCACATTAATACCTCTTGGTTTGCTCGGTGATCAAAACTCAATTTAAGAAAAAATGTAAAATCCTCGACTCGAGCGGAAGTGCGATGTGTCTGAAAACTCGGGATCGTGTTTATATTTATAACCCCTCGTCCAATACCGTAAATCACGATTCGGAGAATACTAACATAAGATGAAAGCACACCATTAAGTCAACACTTTCATTCTATATATAAGTGACATAATAGATACTTAGACTATATGTGTTATTATAAGTACTGCAATAATCACAAATTTGTTAAGAAAAAAATATATCATTTGCATTCGTTTTGCATAAATCTTTTACCAATTGGTTGGTTTTAATTTCAACCATGACTATAGATTTCAAAGCTCTATCTCGCATTTATACATCCATCATCTTCTTCCAAACTATCATCTGTCAACGCATTTTTACACTCAAACCTCATGTTGCCAATTCATCATCCTTGGTTTCACTTTTATATTTGCATTATAATTTTTACCATTTAGTTGGTTTTGATTCCACCCATGGTATAGATTTCAAAGACGATCATCCAAAATAAGACAACCTTATGAGACAAACTCCATGATTTGACACAAAGACATCCAATCCACCTTTCTTATACACTTCACTTTATTCAAATATTTCAATTCTTCATCAATGTGGGACAACTAAAACTCAACCACAATTCATCATATGAGAATACTCAATTCTCATAGTGCCACCTCAATACCCCAAAGTTTTTTTCATCTATAGACTGTAATGGCAACTTGTTCGTATTGCTAACATAATATGGATCTAGATACTATTGATGATGTTTTGCATTTATGATTGCTATAAAAAAATTATTTATAAAATAATTTGGTTTTAGCACTTTTTGTACTTGTAGGGTACTTCTTAAAAGACGTTTTGCTCTTATAGGACGGGCTTAATCATATCGTGGAACTGGAATTACATCTAGTTGTTGGCGTTTCATCTAAATCTTCTGAACTGAAATGGTTTCTCTTTGTTCGAGATGATTTGGCAAAAACTCGACTTGGGAACTCCCTCGACCTAGGCATCAAAGGGTCTCACAACTGTCTTGATCGGACCAAGGCGACTGATGAATTCCGACATGTCTCTTCTAAAATTTTAGAGCAAGTAACGGAACAACCAGAAATTGAACATAAAAGAAATTAATCAGTCTCATAAACTATACTTTGGGCTAGTTGGGCCTGTTGTTTATTTGGGTTGTACCAATCAGCCCATAATGATAATTTGTATTTGAAAGGTTATCTAACGTAGGATGTAGTGAGGTGATCAAACCCATCCGCTGAACTTGACTCAACATGTTCACTATAAAATTATCATTATAAAATATCAACCAAAACTCATCATCATCATCATCATCATCATCATCATCATCATCATCATCATCATCATGTATTTGCCTACCCCTTTCATCTTCCTTGGATATATATATATATATATATATATATATATATATCTATGATTAACACCCTTCACAATAAAAATGATTAATCAACCTCTCATAATTACAAAAAAATGAACAAAATAAAAAATTATGATTGGTTAAATGCGGTTTGCACGGTTTGTACAAATTAAGTGGTTCACATTTGATCGCTCCCCTATATATATATATATATATATACATACATACACACACACACACTAGTTGTGTATCTAATGTAATGTGGCGGGAGCCGTGATTTTTAACGATTTTGAAGTTTCACTGGTTTTATTAGAGAGGATTTAACGATGATATAAGTTGCACTTGGTCTTTACATATTAATATGATTTGAATAAATAAGAGTTATGGTTCCAATTACAGTCTATAGATGAAAAAATTGTATGACAGTTTAAAATCCAATATATCTAAATAACTCCACAAATGTATTCGATTTACACCAAGAGCAAAGAATCAAGAGATCGAGAGCGAGACCGAGAGTTCTAGAGCAATTGAATGGAAGAACTTTTAATAACTCATGATAAATATCAGTTTGAATCTCACCTTGGGGGATGGGAAGAAGACATAGAGGTATGGGAGGGTGAAGACATAAGTGAAAGGTGTCAAAAGTATCTTGGGAACATGAAAATAAAACGTAATAATGTGCATTGATAACTTGTACTATATGTTATTTTAATAGTAGATTAAGAGATTTTAAGACTGAATGCATAAAGTAGTAGTACTTAATGCATTATGAGTTGTTTTTAAGACTTTTAAGACTTTGTGCATAAATGTATAATACTTTGTGCATTAAAAACTATTTTTAAGACTTTTGATAAATCTGGTTTATAAGGTAGTATAGATATGGGCTCATTCAAATAAGAACTGATTAGTTTGTGGTAAGTGTGAGATCAAATGTGAACCATACGTTTTTGAGATATTTAAAGATATTTCTTAAATAAGCTAAAAGGGTATACTAATTCTATTTTTGACAACTAATCAAAATATTTAATTAAATTTTTTAGAAGAAAATATTTAATTAAAATTAGTTATCTAGTATATCAATTACCTAATATACATCGTATTTTAATGACATTTGTGAATCAAAATGTATCATAGTGGTAATGTTCACAATGTTTCACATGTATCACAATGTATTTTCTTTGTTTTATGAAATGTATTATAGTGTGCATTTTCGTGATTTTCATAGCTTTACAAATAGTATCAAATTGTGCATCTTGTATTTATATCTGGGTATCGCAGTGGATATCGTTTGTAAGCATCACAATGTGTATCTTGTGTTTCATAAGGTTTATCGGAATAAGGTTCGCCGAATAAGATTTGTCGGAGAGAGGAAAGAGGAGAAATGAGAGAGAATATATATAAAATCTTTAAAATGCCCTTAATTAATATTTGAAGTTAAAATTACCAAAATTATTAATTTTCTAATTTAACCTTTCATTTGTGGTTGAGATTGGATCTCACGGTTAACACAAACAAAACAGTTTTCATTTACAATTTTCGTCCCCGTGGTTTAGAAATTACAGTTTTTATTCCAATGATTTATAATATATTTATTGTTTTGATTTACGATCTTTACATATTTTGGTCCCTATGGTTTACAATTCTTTACATATCTTGGTCCCTTGCAGGGACGGACCAAACATTTTATCAAACGGTGGCACCATATAATTTATATAATATAATATAATATAAATCCAAAAATAATTACAAAGTATTTTTTATAGGACTGATAAACAACTCTTAAACTTGTATCCGACGTGTCTTCATCTTTTGAAAACAGTCAATATATACCCAAAAATAATTACAAAAAGTATAGTTTTTATAGAATTGAGAAACAACTTCTAAATTTGTCTTCGACGTGTCTTCATCTTTTGAAAACAGTCAATATATACCCAAAAATAATTACAAAAAGTATAGTTTTTATAGAATTGAGAAACAACTTCTAAATTTGTCTTCGACGTGTCTTCATCTTTTG